GTCTGAGCTTTATTGTCTCGGGTTGCAGAAAACATATGGTACAGTAAAGCTCACAGAGCATTATGATCTTCAAAAACAGCTTCACTGAGCCTGCGTTTCTGAACATCAGAAGGAAATCTTTCAGAAATGCCCATCAAACAAATAAATTACCATACTAGTTAAGTCTCAACGGTGGCTTTGGTTATAATATTTGAGGCAGCTGGTATTAAATGGGAAATTGTGAGTTATCTTATATTTCTACTATCAAAAGGTAAATTTATCTTTGCTGGATTTTGCATAAGACATTATTAGCTGCAATTACCCCACAATGTCCCAAGAAGGGGCTATGGGTGTACTTTCTGATGTGTTCTAATGTGCAGTCAAGAAATCTATCTAAATCCAGGACCAGGAGTACGTTAAACATATAGTAGATGTATACCCCAAGGGGAAACTAACTACGACCTGAAGATTGGGAAGAGAATTTAGAAAGCACTGAGAGGAAGCCTCCCTTGAGTGGTAGAGAGGGGTCCTAGAAAGCATTACAGAAGCTGCAGCTTGTTTGTAGGCTGGAGCTGCATGGGTGCAATTTTGAACAAAATAGCAGCAAAGGGTGAGGAGCGATCAGGTTACCAAAGACTAACTTCATAGACTCCACCTCACACTAGGATTCTTATTAGTTCCTCTGGAAATCCTTAGCCCTCCCTTCCCTCCTGTCAGCCGTAACATTGTGCTGGTAACACACACACACACACACACACACACACACACACACACACATTTCTAGACAACACTCACAGAAAAAAGGTTGTCCTGGCCAAAAAACCCATCTCTCCCCTGAGAGCTGAGCAAACAGGAAGTGTTTAAAAGTCTTTGCAAACACGTCACTCGTGAGTGACAGTGGGAACACAAACACGTCAGCACTCTACCAGAACTCTCCCCTGCTCACTTGCCAGGTTTGCGTCTATTTTGATTACACAATTAAAATGTAATTAGCGTGTTGTTAATGAGTGCAAACGTGACACATTAAGACTTAGTAATTACTCTAAAATGATGAATTGTGACGGCATGTCCCCACAACCAAGGAACGCTTTAGGGCAACCGCATTTATTGCTCAGTTGTTGCTGCTTTTAGAGCTACCACCTTTCTCTGGGCCGATGTAATGTCGTCTTAGGATGTGAGCGATCATGCTGCGTTGTCACATATGTTTACAGACCCAGCCAGCTACTCGGATATATTTGAGGTTTCTGGGATCTGGCAAGATAGCTCAGCGGACTAAAGCACCTGCTTAGGCAAGCTGAGGCAAGCTCAGGGACAGCAGTTCAATCCCCAGCACCACATGCCGGGCCAGCCCTGCCCCCAGGACAGGATGAGCCGGCCCCAAAAAAATAAAAATAAAAATATATAAAATAATAACATTTCTGAGCTCTGTAATCATGCAAGGAGCCCAATAACAATTTTTGAGCACTCTTAGCTAAGTGTTAGCTTTTCAAGTTAGCTTTGTCCCTGAGACACCATACCTGACACCCAGAGCTTAAACATGGAGAGATTGAGTTTGCCTCTTACTTTTAGGGAGCTTAGTCAGTGGTCAGCTGACCCTAAAGCAGGAACATCATGGCAGAAGGGCGATGCGGGGCAAGGGTGCTTGGTTCATGATGAACAGGAAGCAGAGCAAGAAGGGACCAAGGGCCATACACTGCACAGTACCCGCTGAGTACACCCAGAAATGTGCTTTACGGATCCTCTAGGCTTTTTCTTAAGCCAATCAAGTTGGCAATGAACCATCACATGCCCCATTATAATTGTCTGCTTTTAAGACAAGCTTATTCAAGAGCCATCCATTTTTCTCTTCAATCTGATATGAGACCTTACTGTCATTTGGGGAGTTCTGTACACAGCTAGGTTCAGTATAGCTCAGAGTGGGTCCAAAATAGTGGTACTACTGGTTCTGATCCCAATCCAAAGATGGTGGCATTAAATAAAGTACACACCCCTACAGAAATCTGATCTTTTACTCCCCTCTTTCTGGGATAACTGAATCATGAGTGTGACAGTAGGTTACAACACTGATAGATTTCTCAGTGACACTGGAATCTTTTTGTTGTTATTGTTGTTTGTTTGTTTTATTTTTTTAAATTTAAAAAAAAAATTTGCTGTACCAGGGACAGGACTTGTTCCATATCATGCCAAAGATGTTTAATATTCAGACAGATAGTGAGGTTAAGCTCAACTGCCTAGATTATAGGGTAATAACAATAAGCTTCTCTTCTGGAAGGTTAACAACCTAAGTTTGCAGACCAAAAATAAGAGAAAAAGTAGGGCTGCAAGGACAGCCAACATTTTGGCCCTAGCCTTTCAAGGTCAGTGAAGACTCAGGACATAGGAGAACCTGTACTGTAACATCCTGTAACTCAGTTGTGACATTGGAATCTTAATGAACATTAAAACAGTTAACTTCTTTTTAGATGCAAACCTTCCACTGTATAACAAATGAGAAACAAACAAAACATGAGTAACTCAAGTACATTTATCTAAAAGGAGAAATCCTAAAAAAAAAAAAAAAAGTCATTGAATCAAGCACAATTTGATACTACCCCATCTAGGTTTCTTCCCCTTTGGAGGAAACCTATCTGTGACCTTCTAGGTATTCTGGAAGCCTGTATGGATACCTCAGTATTATCTCACACAGCAGCCAATAATAGCATTGTTCGGTGAGTTAGGGAATTCATAAATTCCCCTGAGAAACAACTGTGTTCCTGTAACTTAGATCCAGGAATCCTAGCTCTGCCCTATACAGGAAAAAATAGACAAAAGCCATACGATTCTTCTTTCCCAAGCCTTCAAGGAGATGACACCTACTATCAACTCTTCTTTAGGACCTCTCCATCTTGAACATCTCCCCTGCTCATAACAATTATCTTGGACTCTTACCTTCCCCCAAACTGCAGCATATTTGTCAATGTTTTTCTGATTATGACAAACAGAAATGTAAAGGTTGGCGTGTTTCCTGATTAGAAGTGAATTCAGTACTACTCTACACATTTCGTTCTACTTTGGCAAGATAACCAGACCCGCTCACATTTGCCAAGAGTAGGTTAACTTTTTACACAACTTTATTTATTTCTCTGGTGTACATAACATTTTTGTTAAAAGTCTTATCATTTTTGCATGAAATGGTGTCCATTCATTTATCCCTGTTCAGTATTTTGAATTAAAACCAGCAATTTCCCTCTCCAGCCTATCAGATTTTATAGTGTTGCTTTATTATCCCAATCTATTTAGAGCATGTTAATCTTACTCTGAAAGCTGTAGTAAAATCTCTACACTTGGCTCATTTGAAAATTCTGCTAGTCTGCTTTCTATGTCAAGTTGTTGCTTAAAATACACAACGGAAAACGATCAAGAACAGACGCAAAGCCCATGAACCAACAGAAGTTTCTCTTTCCAGGTTTGATAAGTAGGTGGGTACCAGTGATCAGTTCCCTGGGCCACATCCCAGCATAGCAAAGATATCATGAGTGGCTCAGTTGAACACTTCTCTAGAGCAAACATATTCTACTGTGGACTCTCCCAATCCATCAATCTCCACATCGCAGCACTGCCTTTTATTTCTAAATGCCAATGATCTTCTATTTAATAGAAGACACAGCATAAGGGTTCCCATTTTTATGTCTGGTTTTTCTCCATTTTGAAAATCAGATCAGAACCACAATTTTATTCTTTTTTTTTTTTTTTTTTTTTCGGAACCGGGGATTGAACTCAGGCCCTTGCTCTTGCCAGGCAAACACTTATTCTACTGAGCCATCTCCCTGGCCCCACACAATTTTATTCTTAAGAACTACTTACATAAAATACAGAAGTTTTCTCACATGCACTTATATTAAGTAAAGACCGTGTCTCTGGAGCAACATGAGTAAGAAGTGTGGTTATTCTACAGTAACTTCTGATTCTCCAGGATGCTTCAAATACATAAAATAGATAGATTATTATTTTAAAACAATTAAAAGGGCATGAAAATGACAGCACAAAAATGAGACAGCATTTCATGTTTCCAACCAGACCATCTGCCTGTGGGCAGTTTTTTTTTAAACATCTCAATTCAAATTAAGAAAAAAAAGCTAAGAGACATATGCCCATGTTTACAAGTTGAGGAAAATTGACAAGTGCCTGTGCTTTGCCAGTTCTTCCACAGTCAGCTGTTACCCGTAATGGGGAAAATTAAAAGCAGTAATTGCCACTCAGGTCTGCCATTGTGTTAAATGTGCTTTGAATTTCTTAAGCATCCATTACAAATAACTATTTGTGACAGGCCAGCACATATACAGGGTCTGAGGATGGACACTCTGCGGCTTGCAAAGTACGACTCTTTCATGATAACACATTTTCCCCTCCTTTTGCACTCCAGTGTTGGCCACATTACATTTAGAGCTTATCTCGCAGATAGTCCTTCAAGTCACTCTTTCTGTAGGCCATTATGAAAGTCTTCTTTTCCATTTGGCCATGTTGCTGCTTGGAACTGGAAATTGCTATTTGCGCCTGCCAATTACAGACTAATTTAAGGTTTGATGCTCCCAGGCACCGTTTTTGAGATACACGGCGAAGCTATGTTAAGGTGGAATGCATAATGTTCTCTTTGCATTGCTCAGCTTCAATAGATTGCAGAGAATTATATCTGAATTTCTAAACAAATCAATGAGAAAAATTCTTTCCTCGAAGAAGCTGTTTTGTAATGATTTTATTATTCTCTCGTTGGCTATGACCATAGCTGCTATTTTCCCAAGAATCCATATCACTTGTGACTGAATGATTTTGACCTATGACAAAGTAATGAGTATAAATATAAATTTTAACATACAATTTAAATTGAAGAAATTCAGCAAGATGTGATTTTTAATCAATTTTTGAATAATTAAGAAGAAAGGAGAGTTTGATCCCCAGTACTGCAAAAGCAAAACAAAACAAAACAACAACACAAAACAAATCCTAAGAAGAAAGGAGAGAAAAGGAGTCCATTTCAGTGATCTTTTCAACTTTCAAATTAATCATGTTTCTTCTCTGGCTATTTATGTCTGAATTATCCATCATTTATACTGCAAAGTAGGAGACCTATAGATGAAGTAAATTTGCATTTTAAGAATCAAGGGTACTTGTTTTTCGATGCAAGAAGCTTTTGTTGTGTAGGTCAGGAGAAGAAAATGTGCCAGTCACTAACAGAATGGTAAGAACAGCAATTATTTGTGCAAACCTGCCATCATGCCTACGACATCCAGAGGGGCCACCCCACAGTCCTTGTCAGAAAAAAACAAACCAGTGGGAGTCTCTTTCAGAGCCATCCATGTGTATGTTCAGGTCCCAAGAGATGCTCTAAAAATCTTTCTTAATTCTCCTAACCTGAGTACCTTGAATACATTCCCCAAAACCACTTCTCCATTTTCCATCTTTTCCGTCTGACCCTTAAGCATGTTGTACAAATGCAAAGTGGGATCAAAAACTATTGTGAACATTTAACATGAAAAAATGTATTCCACTAAAAGACACATTACTACTGATTCCCCTAAATGGGACCCCTGGCTTCCTGTGCCCTTGCTTTATCAATCCTGTCACTTTCCACAGCAGCCCTTGATGTCGTCTTTCACATCCTTTTTTATGCTGTCACAGCTCCCTCTCTGTCCTGAATCTAAGCTAAAAATCACACAGCACGAATGTAGTGGATGAGGACACGCCATCATGCCCTTGCAAACCTGCCTTTCTGTTGGATGGCATTTGGTGGCAGTAAAGACCTTATGGAGACACTCATGAAAGAGAACTTTCAGAGCTGCTTCAAAAAGTAGCAAGGGGCCAGCGAGATAGCTCAGCGGAGTAAGCACCTGCTTTGGCAAGCACAGGGACCAGGGTTTGATCCCCAGTCCCACCCACCACACCGGCCCTGCCTCCAGGGTGCACTGAACCTGTGACCGCATCCGGGCGTGGTGGTACACACCTGCAATCCCAGAGCTGGGGAGGCTGAAAACAGGAGGATCACTACAAGGCTGAGCTGTGTGGTGAGACCTTGTGCCAAATATATATATATATATATATA